TTTGTTTTTCCTTTTACTCTAATCTCCATGTTGTTTCAGGTTCCTTTCCAATTGCCCAATCCTAAATTTGAGACATGTAACATCTGAGATTTCTATTAGACATGTCAAGAGACAGCTGTACACACTGTTGAGTACTCAGAATTCAGGGGTGAGGTCTAGGCAGGACATATGCATGGGGATCATCAGGACAGAAATGCTGGTGCCCTGGTGTGCAGAGTGGACAGGACCTATTACCCTGGAGGAGTTGGCCTTGGATAAGTGCAAAGACAGCCATCTATCAGACGGGGCTGCCAGTGAGTACCCAATGCTGGAAGACTTTGTAAGTAGAAAAAAGGATCATCACCTAAGAGTGAGAAGGAGAAATACGTGTTAATTTTGGGGGAAAGGAAGAAGGTTTAACATAGATTCTGGAAGATTAGGTAAGAGAACAGACTAAGAAATATAGCATTACTGTGAGGCAAAATTAAGGGATTTTTTAAAGTTCTCATCTAGAATTCTGGAGAATGTCCTTCTCCAACTGCATTCAGCCACACTGCTGTGTTAGAGGGGCTAGAGCTCGGCGATCCTTTTGCGTTAAGAGTCAGACGAAAGAGAGCAGCGCAAGGGGGTCGGCCTCTGTGGCCACGTGGCTGTCATGAGTGTTAACGACTGATCATGGGTCTTTATAGAATCTTCTGCTCAAGCCCCTCTCTTTCATCCCACACCTCTCCAGCCCCACACGGCCCACACCCTTGTTTGGAACATGTCATCTCTGACCAGGATCTTCGCAGCAGCCCCTGGAACCCCCCTCTCCCACCCATTCAATCAGAAGACTCTTTTTTTTAAAAGGCAAACTGTCACTTCCTCAGGCTTGAAATGCTTCAGTGGGTCTCCTTGGTTCTTCAAATAAAGGTCATATTACTTATCATTGTCTTTTAACAGCTTTCCCCACCCAAACACCAACACAAACCTCATATCCAAGAAAATTACAGCCATGCTGAGCCACGTTTGTTAATTGTTTAAATAATGCAAATTTCTTTCTTTTTTTTTTTTTTTTTTTAAATAACTAACTTACTCTATATGTTAGGAGAGAAAGAGAGAAACAGAGAGAGAGGGAGAGAGAGAGAGTGATAGGGTAACGCATATTTCTTTGTACACCCTGGCAAGTTTACACACACCTCCTATGCCCATAGCCTCCCTTCTCTTCCCAATCGCTGAGCTCCAACCCCAACCCAAACACACATTCATCTGTTGAACCCTTTAATAATCATTTAGATTTCAAGTTTATTTAAGGTCTCCTCCAAAACTCCCTTCCTAAATTCCTTAGTCAACTAGGCCTTTTATGGACTCAACCGTTCTATACAGTAGTATTGAATCCTTAGTACCTAGCGGAGTGCTTGGCACATGGAGAGTATTTAGCGCATATTTGTAATACAAATTAATAAATAAAAATGCATTCACCAGTTAATTAATGAATTGCTAATCTTTACAACAACCTAGGCTTTCTTAGCTTTATTTTGAGCAGATGAAGATATTGAAGTTTATGGTGCCTAATACATTTGCAGAGGGTAATTATTTAGTATCAGAGCTGTCATTTGTTGCCAAGTCTCTCTTATTCTGAAATCTTTGCTCTCTCATCAGTACCAGGCTGGCTTTCTCATTCTCATTTCTTTCCAATTTATCAATGCTTATACTGAGAGAGAAAGACGCAGTATAGTACAGCATTTAAGAGCATAGATTTTTGAGACAGACAGCAAGATTCAAATCCTTAGCTCTGACATTTACTGGCTGTGTGACTTTGAGTTATTTATTTAAACACTTTGCCTTGGTTTCCATATCTATAAAATGGGGATTATAATAACTGTTTCATAGTGGCATTGTAAAGATTAAATAAATTATTACAGCACTTAGAACAATACATGGCACATACATGTAAGCTATATATACAAAGTAAATATTATTGCTTCATTTTTGTTGTTACTGGTATAGTTCCATATCAGAAGAAAAAGGGTTTTCTTGATTGGTAGTCCCAGACTGGACGTTACATGGTCTAGATCATTAGCTTGTGCCTTTAAATTTGTCTTTTCTGAGGGATCCCTTTCCGGAGACAGAAGTCTACAACTCGCACAACTTGCACAGGTCTGCTACCTCATGGAGGTAGATGGCTGGGTAATAGAAGATGCCCCTTCAGAATCGCTCCCCAGACCCAACTCTCTGAGCCTTGGCTCCTCCTCAATCCCATCATCCTCCAGACACTGATCTGTACGCAGGAAAATAATCCATCTAGTACTGAGTCTTATATGCACTCCTCTGTTCTTGTGCTGTACGAAGTTTTCCTTTGAGAAAGAGAATCCTCGAAGGATACTTTTGTATATGAATTGTAAATCCAAGAAGCATAGAACATGAGTGTTGCACTCATTAATGGTAGGAGAGCTCTTCTTATTTACATATAAGTGAGAGTAGATTTATATTTTATTCAATACTTGAAAATATATATCCGCAGGCCTCAGTAACCTACGTAAAATATTGCCCAAAGCAACTAATAGGTTTATAGCAAATTTTACGTAGATAGATAAATGAAAGCTGCACTTTGATTTTAATTAGGCAGAGTGCAAATACATGAACACTTCCAGATACTTGTGATAGCAGTATAAGTTGATATGGCTTTTCTGGGAGGCAATTTAGACACATATACCTAACATCTTGAATATTTTAAATTATTTTCCACCCAAGACTTCCAAAATTCTGAATTTAGATGAAAGGAAATAATTTGGAAGTTACATAAATTCTGTGGACAAAGATCAATTTTTGCTATCTATTTTTTTTTGTCCCTTTGCATTTACCTAACGTCTGTGTCACTAAAATGTAAGCTCATTGAAAGCAGGGACTTTTTCTGTCTTTTTTTCCAGCCATATAACAAATGTTTAGCAGATTACCTGGTATATAGCAAATACTCAATGGTTATCTGTTAAATAAATCAAAGAATAATTGTTGTGATATATCTGATAGAACAAATGGGAAAGTATCTAAATGGCAAAATTATGGGATTAGCTAAATAAGTATGGCCAAATGATGGAATACATGAAATCTACCAAAAAGTCTTAAGGTTTTTTTTTGAAGAATATCAACATAAAAACACCTCAGGACATATTCTTACATGAAAAAGTAGAATATAAACTGTATAATGCTAATTTTTCAAATAAAATTTTAAAAGAGAGAAATAATACACTGAGTGTTTATATGGAGCCAGACATAATTCTTATTATCTCCTTTAAAACTGTCCTTATTTCAAGCATTATAATAAATAATCTTATTTTTAAATGTTAAAACAGTTATAAAGACCATGTAAGTTACTTGGAAAATGGTTAGGAAATAATTTGTCTAAATAGGAATATAGAAATGCATGCAGGATTACTACTATGAACAAGTTATACTAATGTATGGATAAGGAATGGACATAAAACTGATTTGTTAGGGTAGTTAGTTTCTGGGTTTCTTTCTTTATCTTTTCTTTCTCTCTCCTTTCCTTCCTTCCTTCCTTCCATTCTACCTCTTTCATTCTCTCTTTTTAATTCCATTAGTTTTTTCTTTTCTAAAAAATTTAATTAGAAAACTATCTCATTAGCCATTTTAGTAATTATATCCAAACACTGGAGTTGGGTACAATCTCTTTTCCTTCAGATGCTGGCACCTCTTTTAGGAGATGCCAGAGCCTTTTTGTTTTGTTTTGCAGGGAATGATTGGCCCTGAGATAACATCTGTTGCCAATCTTCCTCTTTTTTTTTTCCTCCCCACAGCCCCAGTACATGGTTTTATATCCTGCTTGTGAGTTGTTCTAGTTCTTCTATGTCAGCTGCTGTCTCAGCATGGCAACTGACAGGGGGTGTGGTTCCACAACTGGGAAGCAAACCTGGGCCTGCGAAGCCGTGAGTGCAGAAGCTTAACCACTAGGCCCTCAGGGCTGGCTCGCCAGAGCCTTCTTTACCAACAATAAACTCAAGCATATCAGAGTTGTTCTTCCACCATTAGTCCCATAACAGAACTAAACCCAGAAACAGGGATGAGCAAGCAATGACCCACGTTTTTATCTAGGTCCTGTGCTGTTGTGAATGTCGACTTTAATCTAGGATTACTCTGTAGGGAAGAAAAATAATGACGACATTTGAGCTAATCATATTTTATTGTGTCTCTGCCTTCAGACACTTTGATACATTTCATCATGCTGTAAATGTCCCAGCATTTTCGAGTTTACTGAGTCCACTGGAGGAGAAATAACTGACATAAAAGCAGGTATCTTAGTTCTTCTTGGTTACACAAACAAGGTCAACCTTAACCAGGATTTAATTATCAACCTGTAGTACTTCCAAGCCTACAGACCCTAGAGTAGAAACTGAATAAAGATTATTATTTAGGTTTTATAAATTATTTCCAGTTTGATTCTTATAAATGGCTATAGCAACCACTGGAATTTTACAGAATTCTCAGTGACTTCCTATTGCAACAAACCTGTGTATAGCATAGATATTTAATTAAATTATGACAATTGTATATTCTTTTCATACTCAGAGAGATAACCTAACCCTGAGATTTAAAAAAAAAAAATTAACTTTCTTTGCATACGCCTTTATGTTTTCTGTTTCTTCTAATTCCAAGTCTTATCCAAATCTTTCTCTTCTGTGTTTTACTCAGCAAATAACTATGGTAATAATTGAGGTTTAAATTCAGACTACTTCCAATTGAACTTTCTACTTCTTCCTCGGTGGACTCCTGCTAAGCTTCTCCTTCTCCTCCTCCCCAGACTGAAGGGCTGCAGGATCTGCTTAATCATTATTTAAGCTGAGATGAGGGTGTCTCTACATTTCTCTGCGTTCTATCTTTTCTTTTATATATATATATTTGTTGTTTTTATCTTGTACTGTCTTTATATCCATGCATCATCTGTTTTCATGAACTACTTATGAGTCCAGAAGCGCTGTTTGCTGAGGAAAAGCCATAAAATTTTCACTACTTGTTGATCATACCTTGAGAATCTTGCACATAATCTCATAAACTGAAAATGCTTTCTCTGCTCGGGTCCAGTCCCACGTTGTCACCTTTAAAAGATGAGAAACTAATGTGTCATCTGTTGTAGAAAGATAGCCCCCATTTCCCTATTTATTTTACTCATATTACATAGTGCATAGTGGAACTTTCACACTTGTACTGCATACAGTCTCTCAGTTGTGAAGTTATTCTCACTGAGGTCCACGTATAACATTTTGGTTTCCTCTCCTCTAAGCTTTGTCACACTTCTCTTCCTCTTTCAGCAAATGTTTTCTGTTATCCGCACACCCTCCATTTGCCCAGTATATTCACATATTTTAAATAATGTGTGTATTCTCTACATATAAATACTAAGTATTTATATTTCACATCTATGGTATTTTTTTCTCAGTTTACCACCAGTTACATACAAAGAAGAATACTAGATATCAACGCTGGCTTTAATTTTTCAAAAAAACATAATTTATGTCAGGAAGTCATTCCAAGATGTGAACGCCTTACAACATTGTGAAGACACCAAACACTACACTGAAGTTGTTTCACTTATTTATGTTTGCAACATATATTTGTCCAGTCATAAGGAGTTATTCTGAGTCAGAATAGAGTCAAAGATATAAATATCAATGACGTTTTCCTGCCTTCCTGGTGCTTTGAACTTTGTGTCAATATAGACATTCAAAATAGCAGCAAGTCAGACTTGATAATTCCAAGACCCTGTGCACTATTAGACCTGTAAGTGAGTGGTCTGGCACTTGATATTTATGTTCAATAAATATTTATTGGGAATCTACTGTTGTGTAAGCTACATGCTTCCAAAAGCAAGACCTTAGGTTGAATAGCTAACCATACATATTTAATATGAAGCCCACCCAGAATACAGGATGTCAAAAATACTATTGATTTCATTTAGACAGACTTATGCCACACAGAAAAACATATTTTGACTGTCATAAATTCCTAAACAGAAATGCCTTCTAGATTTTTCAAGGGTTATAAAGTAAATGTTTAATGCCATGACATATATCTTTAGCAAGATATTTTCAGAAACATTTGGACTGTTTTCTTTTTTTGGTATCTTATTTTCAAAATATGTTGGTAATATGTTATTTGCTATTGTTAAGTTGATGTCACTCTGTTGTGATAATAAGGGAAAAATAAAAAATGTTGGACAAAAACACTTACTGGAGGTGCCAGAAACTTGTAAAGACATGAGCCCCTCAAGGCTAGAAATGTTGGAGAGTACACGCGATCTTGAAGGGAGTCCTGTTCCCTTGCTTCACACCAGCCCATGTAGACTATCTGCAAGGAAAGTGAAGATAATTAACTGTCAAAAGAGTCTCATTTCAGATGTCATAATGTGTATTTTTCATATCTTGTGGTATTTTAATTCTCTCATAAAATGATCAAATTAATTGATGCAAAAAAGTACATTAACCAGATTTACCTTCATAAGTGAAAGTAAACTACTCATAAGAGTCTAATATGTTTCCTTCGGCTCTTATCAAGTGTTTGTTTATGTAATCCAACTTGGCATGAACTATATCTCCCACTATCATTCCTACTATGAAAATATTTCTTTGTAATAGAATTCATTCTCTTTAGCCCATCAGTTTTCCAAGTAATGGCATTTTACTCCCTGGGAATGTGCTCCCAGGTGAAATAGTTAAGTGGGTAAAGGAGAAAAGTCAAAGAGAGATCCCTCATGTGACTACCACTAGTGTGGTATCCACATTACCCTGTGCCTGACAGGCTGGGACAATAACCTTTCTTGTTTTAGTCACCTATCTAAGGTTATTCAAGCATTATTCATCTATCAAATGGTAGTAACAACAACTCTTTGCGTCCAGCTCTTAAATATAGGTGGATCAATTTCCAAAATAAAATCACGTGAGATAAACCACTCCTCTTTCCATCATTTGATTGTTCTGAGGCTCAAACATATACATAAACATTTATTAAAGGAGTACAACAACCCTAACAATGTATTCATATGTCACTTCATTTATCTCTTACCACAACTCTATGTGGTAGAGGTTTCTGAGAGGATATATTTCTCACCTCATGTAACTTACTTTGGTTTAATGGTTGGCCGAATGCTCTTTCCTGCTCCCAGACTTTCACTTTTTTTGCTGTGAGATTTGCTAGGACTAATGGGATTTTAAAGCACATGACACAAGTAGAGTTGAACTTAGTATCTTGTGTTTCTGCCATTACCATAAAAAAAGCATACCCAAGGTAGAAACATGTGGAACAGACCAGAGCCCAAATTACCTCCTGGACCCAAGCCCAGCCAACTCCAGCCTAGTGTTTAATGCCAAACAATCAGATCACTTGTAGAGAAAATACATATCTATTGTTGTATTCCACCTAGTTTTGGGGTTGTTTTATTATACAGCATTGCTGTGCCGATAGCTAACTAATAACAATGAAAGAATTTGAAGTGCAGAATTTGAAATTAGATATCTGTCTGATTTTAGATCTCATTTTCTTTCCACTTTATTATATTTGCTCTCCAAAATAACTGTATTGTCCATTAGCTCATTATCTAAGTTTGTTTTACAATAAGCTTCTGAGATATAAAGATCCTACTTTAACAAATTGAGGAATTGCAATTTAAATAAACTAGCTTAACAAGTGAGCCAAGCTTTGTATGAGTTAGAATTGGAATTTGAACCAAGGTCCCTTGCTCTTTTAATTCTACTATGTATTCTCTAATCTGTTACATTACTAATTTGTTGTTAGTACCCTCGAGTCAATTCTGACTCCTAGTGCCCCTGTGGACAGCAGAGTGGAACCCTGCTCAATCTTTTTGCGCCATCCTCTCATCTTCTGGCTCTATAGCAGACAAGGCTTCACTGCTATTCACAGGGTTTTCATGGCCAATTTTTTTCTGCAGTGGGTGGCAAGGTCCTTCTTCCTAGTCTTTCTTAGTCTGGAAGATCGCCTGAAACCTGTCCACCATGGGTGACCCTGCTGGTATTTGAAATACTGGTGGCATAGCTTTCAGCATCACAGCAACATGCAGCCACCACAGGATGACAACCAACAGATAGGTGGTGTGGTTCCCTGACTGGAAACAAACACTGGTGCAGTTGTGAGAGTGCCAAATCTTAACCACTAGACCACCAGGGCTGGCTAGATTACTAATATGTGCTTTGAAATTTATAACATGTGAGAGCTAGTCACAGAGACTTAATTGTTTAATAATAATATAATAAGAACCAGCTATAATAATTGAATATTTTGTATTGCTTATATGGCCAAATAGATACTTAATCAAATAATATCATAGTTTTGAAAAAGTAATGAAGTCTAATAGCTGACCATACCATAAAGGAAAAAAGGACTTAGTTAACTATAGAAGTATATATAATTTAGCAGAATAATTGAATTAAAATAAAAGTAAGAGATGATTAGTTTCCTCTTCCAGTTGTTGAGTATTATGCAATTCAGACAACCCACTAACTGAAGTCACCTTGGAAAACAGGAAAAACATATTTTTTAAATGTGCTCAAAGTACTACATATTTTATAAGATATTAAAGAATTACCAGGAAAAACTCATAGTCAAATGGAATTTGATGGAGGTGAGCCCAAATATGGGTCAACTTTCTAATACAGATGTGGCCCGTAAGAGGCTGTGCTGCTTCATCCAGCCTCACAGGGTTAAGGCATAATGTTCAAGTCCAGGACCCTCCAAGTGCAGAAGCCCTGGTAAACATGCTCTGCTTTTATTTCAGATCACAGTGACTGCATCCTAACAACAAAGTTGAGGCAGAAGTCATTAAACTCTTTTAGGAACTAGAGCTCAGATTCAAGCCACCCAGATGGCTGAGAAAATGTCAACCTTGAAATGATTCATGATGAACCTAGATTACAGTTCTCCTAGGCTCCTAGCTAAAGAAAATGGAAATCCTCTCTGGATGATGATAACATCATCCTGTGCCTCAATTTATTTTTATAAAAACTGTGTCCTGGACACAATAAAAATTACTAAGAATATAAGGGGAAAAATCATGAAGCACATCAAACAAAAAACATGAAAAACGAAAACAATAGGCAGCAGGATCCAGCACATAAGCATTTTAGGTATTAAAATTTTCTGACATAGACATTAACTTAACTATGCTTACTTTATGTATAAGAAGATAAGAGACAAGCTTGAAACATTCATCAGAGAACATCTGACATATCAGATTATAAAATGTACCAGTTGGAAACTAAAGAAATACATTATGTATTTAAAAAATGTATAGTTGGAGTTAACAACAGATTAGAAGCAGTTGAAGATGTTGAGTACCTTTTCACATACCTGTTACCCATTTGTTTGTCTTCTTTTGAGAAATGTATATTCAGGTCCTTAGCCAATTTTTTAATTGGGTTATTTGTCTTTTTGCTATTGAGTGATTTGAGTTTCTTATATATTTTGAATATTAACCCTTTATCAGATATATGACTTAACAAATATTTTCTCCCATTCCATAGGTTGCCCTTTCACTCTGTTGATTGTTTCCTTTGTTGTGCAGAAGTTTTTTATTTTGGCAATCCCATTTGCCTATTTTTGCTTTTGTTGACTATGCTTTTGGTGTCATATCCAAAAAATTATTGTGTACACCAATGTCAGGGAGATTTTTCTTTATGTTTTCTTCTAGCTCAAAAAGGAAATTAAGAAAACAATCCCAGTCACAATAGCAACAAAAAGTATAAAATACTTAGGAATAAACTTAACCAAGGAGGTGAAAGACTTGTACAGTAAAAATTATAAAACCTTAATGAAGGGAATTAAAGAAGACACAGATAAATAAAAAGACATCCCATGCTGATGGATAGGAAGAATTAATATTTTAAAATATCCATAATATCCAAAGTGACTTACAGATCAATGCAATTCTTATCAAAATCCCAATGTGGCATTCTTTACAGAAATAGAAAAATCATCATAAAATTCATATGGTACCATAAAAGACCCTGAATAGCCAAAACAATATTAAGCAAGAAGAACAAAGCTAGAGGCATCACACTCCCTGATTTCAAAATATATTACAAAGCAGTAGTAATCAAAACAATAAG